TTGCCTTTTAAAATATTCAACGTAAAGAAGTGACCAAAAACATTGTAAGTTTATGTTATTTGCCTTTTAAAATATTCAACGTAAAGAAGTGACCAAAAACATTGTAAGTTTATGTTATTTGCCTTTTAAAACATTCAACGTAAAGAAGTGACTAAAAACATTGGATGAGATCATTCATTTGTTATGCAAGATACATAGAAATCCCCAGCAATAATCAGTGGGACTAATTACAAAAATTATCTTGTTCATGTTTAAATTTCTGTGTGTAATTCATATGCTTTAGGAACTCTGTAAACAACAGAGTTGTGAATTCACAAGTACTTTGGTACGTATATATTTTATAACAATATGTTTACAAAGTATTAAGTCAATGAAGTCATACATATAAACACCGTCGGTAGTTCTAGGTAATACGTGGAAAATTATGAAAATTCTGAAGATAACGAATTTACAATATTTACGTTTTATCTTGGTTCTAGGTTTTCGGCTAAATTTTGGGTCTCGTGGACTACTTTCAGGGATATCAGATGTCTTGGAACGGTTTGTCCAACCTCAGCAAAATGATAAGCTCACAGAGACGTCTACAGAGCTGTCTGACTATGATTACAGTGACTATGACGAAGATTACGAAGAAGAAACTTCAGAAATAACAAATAACAAAAAATTGCAGAACGTTGTTCAACAGTTGATCAAAGCTGTAGGCGATGTGTATCCTGTCGCCTCGGGCAGGTCAGCCCTCATCAATCTTAACGCTCATTCCAGTGAGAGGTTTCAGTTTTGTCGGACTCCCAACAACGAACCCGGTCACTGCCGCTATATTCAACATTGTCTCTTACCTGAATTTGTCACAGACTTTACAAAGTTTGTCAAATACGTTTGTTTTATTAACAGTCGTTATGTGGGTGCTTGCTGTCCAGATGACCACCAACCAGAAAGCATACCGGCAGCTTTAACTACAACCACAATACCGGAAATCCATACTCCAATACAAGATGAACCAGATAAACCATTTCGACCAAGCAGACCAGAGAAACCAAATAGAAGACCAGGGCGTCCTAATAGGAGACCAGGACGTCCTAATAGAAGACCAGGGCGTCCTAACAGAAGACCAGGACGACCCTTCCGGCCAGGGCGTCCAAACAGACCAGGAAGACCTTTCCAGCCAGGGCGTCCAAACAGACCAGGAAGACCTTTCCAGCCAGGGCGTCCAAACAGACCGGGAAGACCTTTCCAGCCAGGGCGTCCAAACAGACCGGGAAGACCTTTCCAGCCAGGGCGTCCAAATAGACCTGGAAAACCTTATGAGCCTGAGGAACCTGAGCCAATTCCACCAACTCTGCCTCCTATAACTACATCAAAACCCACACAGCCCCCTCCACCTTCACCAGAGCCGTCTAATTCACCTTATGAAGAAGGTATTATTTTATTTTCATGAGTTAGAGTTTAAGTAATCTGACATCGTAACAACTTTGTAAAACATTAAATAAGACATATGTATTGTTATTTTTTTACAAAATGAAGCATTCCGATGTGAGAAAGACTTAATTGTTTTCATGACAATAATGCTCATTTAAAAACATCTGAAGTATTAACATATTTCACAACAATAGAAAATATGAATAGCCGCAATTCTGATTAGATCTCAAATCGGTCAAGAGATGGAGCCACAAGCTAAAAGGTTGTATTTAAAAAAGAAACAAAAAACTCAGAGCCATTCTATGAGCCGATATGCCGTGGCTAAACATCAGTATCACTAGTATATAATAACTTTGCCAATCATGAAGTTACCTATTTTTAATAAAATAATAATTCAAAAAAACATTCGCTGTTGAAATGTAACATGACGATATGCGATTTTAGTACAGTAATTGTACTGTTTGACGGAAAGGACAAAAAAAAACGTTTTGTACATGTAGCTTTTTGGTCCAAGACATGGACAGAATCCTAATGAAGGAGAAGGGAAAGTTAGAGGTTGACGTTGCGATCTTACTTCTGCTTCATCTGACCACACGCGAAGTTCACATTCAATAGGTAGACTCATCGCTAAATCTATACACTTCATTATAAACACAATAGTGTAACAACTCAAACATGTCAAATTCACATTCAGTCAGTACACTCGTCGTTAAATTATAACCACGTTTAACCAATAGTATAACAAATCAAACATGCCAAATTCAAATTCAGTAAGTACACTCGTCGTTAAATTGTAACCACGTTTAACCAACAGTGTAACAAATCAAACATGTCAAATTCACATTCAGTCAGTACACTCATCGTTAAATTATAACCACGTTTAACCTATAGTGTAACAAATCAAACATGCCAAATTCAAATTCAGTCAGTACACTCATCGTTAAACTATACACTTCATTATAACCACGTTTAACCAATAGTGTAACAAATCAAACATGTCAAATTCATATTCAGTCAGTACACTCGTCGTTAGGTTATAACCACGTTTAACCAATAGTGTAACAAATCAAACATGTCAAATTCACATTCAGTCAGTACACTCGTCGTTATATCTATACACTTCATTATAACCACGTTTAACCAATAGTGCAACAAATCAAACTATCAAATTCACATTCAGTCAGTACACTCGTCGTTATATCTATATACTTCATTATAACCACGTTTAACCAATAGTGTAACAATTCAAACACGTGAAATTCACATGCAGTCAGTACACTCATCGTTAAACTATACACTTCATTATAACCTGGTTTAAACACTAGTGTAACAAATCAAACACGTGAAATTCACATGCAGTCAGTACATTCATCGTTAAACTATACACTTCATTATAACCTGGTTTAAACACTAGTGTAACAAATCAGACACAGGAATGATTTCATTCAGTAGGTCCACTAGTCGCTATTCTTTGCCAGAAGATACGGTTATGTTATGTCTGATTTTTTAGAAATGATTCGATTATGTGGTTAGTTAGATTTGTCTGTTTAGTTGAACCAATCCGAATTATCTATATAGTTAAAAGAAATGGTTCCACCAATAAAGGACGGGTGTCATATGCTAATTAAAATATTTTTTCACAAACGTATATGACAAGTTAAGTTAATCTCGATGTTTGAATTCAAAAGTGACATAGGTTTAATATCACATACAAGGTTGTTTTCCTTATTCATCTAAGTACCACGATAACTCTAAGTACCACATAATTTGGATAATCATGATATAATTGATATCAAAATTATATTCACAACATGTTTATACGTGGGGTTTTATATCCTAAATATGTTAAAGGCACTTTCAAATGATTATATCCATTTTTGGAAAAAGCTAAACCTCTCAAAAGTTTATTTACTAAATGACTGAATATTTAACTTTTAAGAGTGAGCAGTGGGTGTTTTTGTAATCTCAAATGCTTTTATATTGCTAATTTTATAGAAACCTAAGCGGTGAAAAGCTTGCGCACTTTAATCTCCAAGTTGTTATTTTCCTTAAGCTGTAAATTCTTTAGATAAAATGAAATTACTTCGAACGAGAGTCTTCTGAAACTGTCGCCAGGTGGGTAAGTTAACGCACTTACAACACGAAACCGGAGTTCGATTCCCCGCGGTGGACACAGTAGATAGTCCATTATGAATTTGCTGTAAAACAAACATATCTCTGAAATTATTGGTATCTTTAATTACAAGACTACTTTTCTTCTGTGGCTTATGGTTGCAACGTACTTCAAACATGTTTACATAAGTTAAGCAATTTTCCCCGTTGATCAGTAATATTTGCTTTCTAAGGTAGAGATCTTAATTCAGATATTTTTACCGAAACGGCGTCATTAATCAGTTCTACCAATGTGATGTGGAATATTTAACATGCTTAGGTTTTGAACTCTAAGTTAAGCTTCAAACGTATAAAACATTTAGTGTTGTATTTATTCCACTCTGAACATAGTCAATGATTCCATAAAACAGTTATACATCAGCTGTATACAGTTTATAAACTTTTTTTTATCCATTTTACATTTATCCATTTTTACATTAATGTAGAAAAAAAATTGTAAGTTCAGATATAATTCACATTAAAATGTAATGGTAAAAATATATTTCCATCAAACCGAATAAAATGTTTAAATTAGTGTTTGTTATTCATATATATATAATGAAGAAATTAGGCTTAGTGAAAGGATGATAGTTATGTACCGGATGTTCTTTATTTTCGGTACTTGTTCTTTCTTTAGAATGTGGCCTTAACTTTAAGACGAGAATAGTTGGAGGAAAGGAGGCAGATCCTGGCGACTGGTTATGGATGGTAAGAAAGCCAAAAGAATTAGATTTATAGTGAAAAGTATATGATACAACTAGTAATTCACGTTATTTAAATATAGGTTTTAATTTATTTCACATTCGGTTAATATAAAATTTACAAATGTAATTGTAAGAAAGAAACCCTTTGTTTTTCTATTTTGTATGTGTGTGTGTGTGTTTTGCTTTTTTTTAATTTACAAAGGGAATTGTTTTAAATAATGAAAGTGCATTAACTTATGAAATAGTTTTTAAGATACAGCAAAACTAGGGACGTCAACTTAACGTATTCTTGGATAATATTTACGTTCGTAGGAGGAAGGGACACCATTTCCCGACGAGGAGGCTAAAGCGAGCTCGACGAAAAAATTAAGGGGGCTACACTCTTCATTTTGTGGACACACATACTGTAGTATTATGAAAGTGAACCAATTTTAACATTAGAGTGGAGGTGCGCAAGCCATTTCTCGATGAGGGGGCTTAAGAGAACTCGACGAAAAAATTGAGGGGGCTACATTGTTCATTTTTATAGACACACATATTGTAGTTTTATGGAAGTGAACCAATTTTAACAGCAAGTATTGTTCGTTAGATGCGGAGGCTACAAAGGAAACTAAAGCTTGTTTTGTTGTAGCTTAAGCCCCCCCAAAAAAAATCCCCCACTCTACCTTACCATCACCTCTGAGCTAGGGCCATACTACTTATACAACACCATAAATTTACTGAGCTATTTCAAATACTAACTCTCTGACAGATTCAGTGAACCACTTAATAACTATTTGTAACTCAGTTGTACAAGATTTGAAAAGTCTCACCGCCTATCGGCAAGTATTGAAACACAATAAAATAGAATAACTCAGTTAACAATTTTCTCTCGTAGAAAGATTGTTATATTGTTATAGATTTCGCGCAAAGCTATACGAGGGCTATCTGCGCTAGCCGTCCCTAATTTAGCAGTGTAAGACTAGAGGGAAGGCAGCTAGTCATTACCACCCACCGCCAACTCTTGGACTACTCTTTTTACCAACAAATAGTGGGATTGACCGTCACACTATAACGCCCCCACGGCTGAAAGGGCGAGCATGTTTGGTGTGACGGGGATTCGAACCCGCGACCCTCAGATTTGTTCAGTTTGTGGTTACCTTAATGCAGATAAGCTTAGTTTACCTTATATAAAAATTATCGGTTTAACACCTACTAGAATGATTCATCAAACATTATTTTTTAACTTTCCATTTTTTATATGTGAATGAACTGTTTTAATTCAAACAGGCTGCCCTGATACGGGGACCAGCGGATTTGACTGGCCAGTTCTGTGGTGGTGCGCTCATTAACCGAAATTTTGTTCTTACTGCTGCTCACTGTACACAAAGGTAGGTTGAAGATGTCATTATTTTAGATGTAAGCAAATAAATAAATATCAACATTTATAAAAAGGACCAACAGATAGCAGAACTATGAATATTGTTAAACGGGACGGTTTCCTTGGATTTTAACACAAATTTATATAATGTTCTATCTGTGTGCGCTCTCAGATTTTAGAACGGTTGTAGTTCACTTACATAATAATTACGGTAACCATTGATGATGTAGCATTAAAACAAATCTATGTTTAGTCGTTCCGTTGTAAGTTCTTTCTCTTAGATACCGGGCTTTAGAACCGTTGTAGTTCACTTGAATAATAATTACGGTAACCATTGATGATGTAGCATGAAAACAAATCTATCATAACCAAAACAGTTGTTTTGTATATCAAACTGTTAATTTCCAACGGTTATTCCATGCTTGAACCTTATAAGTAAGTTGCTGTTTGTATAGTAGGTTCATAGCAGATATGACCAAAGTGAGGTTGGGTGAGTACGACTTTAGTAAGACAAGTGATAACTATCTTATGTTGTTGTTGTTTGTATTATATGTTCACAGCAGATAAGATCAAGGTGAGGTTGGGTGAGTACGACTTTAGTAAGACAAGTGATAACTATCTTATGTTGTTGTTGTTTGTATTATATGTTCACAGCAGATAAGATCAAGGTGAGGTTGGGTGAGTACGACTTTAGTAAGACAAGTGATAACTATCTTATGTTGTTGTTGTTGTATTATATGTTCACAGCAGATAAGATCAAGGTGAGGTTGGGTGAGTACGACTTTAGTAAGACAAGTGATAACTATCTTATGTTGCTGTTGTTTGTATTGTAGGCTTACAGCAGATTCGATCAAGGTGAGGTTGGGTGAGTACGACTTTAGTAAGACAAGTGATAACTATCTTATGTTGTTGTTGTTGTTTGTATTGTAGGCTTACAGCAGATTCGATCAAGGTGAGGTTGGGTGAGTACGACTTTAGTAAGACAAGTGATAACTCTCCTACAGATATCCCTGTCGCTGAAATAAAAAGCCACCCTAATTTTGACAAAGTCAGATACTACAACGATATTGCGCTGTTACGACTGGAAAAACCTGTGGCGTATTCAGATTTCATCCGCCCTATTTGTTTGCCAGACCCACGCAGTGATCTTCGAAGCAAATTAGCTACAGTGACTGGTTGGGGAACAGTAGCATACGGTTAGCATTCTTTATCTATAATAATATAATGTTTTGTTTGGTTGTTGTTGTTTTGCATCACACACACACTATGGTGAATGAGATAATAAAGTTGTATATTTTTGTGTTAAGATACTTATTGTCTTTTTTTTTTCTGTGAAATAATAGTGAAAATACATATAATATGTAGGAGAAGTGAAGAATTAAAAATATTTTTATTTTCCTAAACTGAAGTGAGCATTTCCGGGACAGATGATTTCTGTTTCTGTAAAAAAAAAAAACATAAATTTCCAGGGTTAACGAAGAATTAATTACATTTCTTTTTTAAGTATACTACAGAAACAAATTCGGGCTAATTTATATTGAATTAAGTAATTTAAGTACTAGTACGTAAAACAATATCAAAGTAATTCAATTATTTATACTTGACGTTAGACTTTAGTATTAGGCCTACTATATTATTTAACACTGAGTTCTTTCTGCATTCCCTAGGGATTTTTCAAGAAGAATAATAATAGTGTGTAATAGTATTTTGACCACACTATGTACACTATATTCACCTGATAATAATGTTTTAATGACAAGTATAATTAATTACAATAATGCTACGTTCTCCCCATAACAATATTTGAGTAATATTTGAATACTGTGGTCAATTGTTGAAGTGCTTTATCTACTGAATACGAAATAATGTCACAACATTTAAGATTCTTTGTTGTTTAACTGTATATTGTGTCTCATAAACACGTCCTCAGAATACTGTAGATATAGTGTAGTTGACATATTGTAACGTGTTCTACTTTACTTTTACTCAGAGGTTCTTAGAATTACATATGTAGTGTTTTCCCATTGACTCTGTAGTTACATGACTCGCTCCGAGTATAACAAGACTAGCTTGCTGGTTCGCCTGTTCTTGTGAATGATAGTGAACTTAATTCAAATAAAATAAGTACATAGAATAATTCTTAACTATAAACTTAAATAGAATTGGTAACAATTATTACATAGTCGCTTAATTTTATTCACACCCTTAAAACGTGTTGTTCATGAAAATTGATATATATATCACCTAGACCACTACTATGGCTGTCCTATCTCAGCCGGCCTGATGAGCCCTGGTGTTGTACGAAAAGTCTTGTCGGCACTGGAAATGGCAGATTTAGTGTGGTTGAAATATTATAACGGGTTTTGCTTTATTTTCACTCACGGATTCTTAGAGTTAGTATGACTTGTTTGTGGTTAAGCACAAAGCCTTCAGACTTACCGCTGTGCCACTGGGGGCGAGTTAGTATGGAGAAAAAGATAGTTATTTGAACGTTCCCCCTCCCCTTTAAGAGGACTTAAGAGTTTGATTTGATTGTTGTTAACCACAAAGATACAGAATGGGCTATCTGTGATCTGTACACTGCGGGTATCAAAACCTGATTTTTAGCTTTATAAGCCCTCAGGCTTACCGATGAGCCACCGAGAGAACATAGCAGTGCCGAATTCAACGAGTGAAACTGTTTTACCTGGACAAAGTCAGTTTATCAATATTAAATGTGCATAAACAGAAACATGTAGATCTGGATTCAAACGGATTGACCTTGTGGTGGTGCTTTGGATATCGAAACTGACGAGCCGGGTTCGATTCCGTGCAGTACCATAAAATATTCCCCGCACTTTAAGCTGTAGGTGCGTTATAAGAGTTACAGGCCGTCTATTATGGTGAGTGGTGATGCTGACTGGCTGTCTTCTCTGTTGTTGTTGTTTGTTATTAAGCACAAAGCTACATAAAGAGCTATCTGTGCTCTGCCCACCACGGGTATTGAAACCCGGTTTCTAGCAATATAAGCCCGCAGACATACGCTGTGCCACTGGGGGGCGCTGCCTTCTTTTTGGTCAGTAGTTTAAAATTATGAACGGCGACAAGTAGACCTATTTTATGAAACCCAAATACAGATTTCAGTTTAAAAAAATTCTATTATTTTGGTCTAGCTTTCGTAGGATTATATAGCTATCTCAGATTTTTGTATATTATTTCCAGTAGTTTTTTTATTAAGGTATACGAGATACATTTTTGTCAGGGGATGTTTTTATCCTCAAAATAAAACTAGCATTTAAAAATGATTCTTACAAAATAACTTATTCCTACTAGACTTACCAAACTTTGAATATTTTTTCAGGAACTGATTTACATATAGCATTTTTTATATAGTTCACTTTCTTACCACTAGGTGGTGCTTCAAGCAACGTTTTGCGAGAAGTAAGCATACCTGTCTGGGATAACGAAGAGTGTAACAACACTTTTGTACAGACAATTACAAATGTATTTCTCTGTGCTGGCTCTAAAAATGGTGACAAGGACTCGTGTCAGGTAAGTCATGAAACCAAAAATACATCAACCTAATCAAACAATAAGTTTAAACAGTCCAATATTAAGCGGCCATCTTGAAAAGAAAACATTTGTTGCAAGATAGTTGATTTCACTGTTGATTATTTGTTTTCTTTCCATTCGAAAGGGCGTTTTAAGAGTAGTAAATAATTTGGCTTAAAAAAAAAGAGAAGTAATCCTTGATAAATAAAACAGAAGAGTAACATATAATATAACAAGTTTTTTGTTGTTTTTTAATTAGATAAAAAGATCACATCCAATGTATATTGACATATATTTTATATGTGATTGTCAGTTAATTTCATAACGTGTAAAACTGACGTAAAGACCAAATTCTTCCCAGTTATAATGCCCTAAGTCACATACTACTAATATGCGTACATTTTATCGTACTCTCTGTTGTTGTTTTATTCAGGAAATTCTGGGCTCACTACGAACTACCTTAAATTAGTTATTTCAGTGTAATTCTGAAGAGCTACTGATGTGGAAAGTTGCGAGTTTTATGCGTTTATTTCGAACTAACTTAGACTACTTATTTAAGTACGAAACTGGAGGGATGTTAATATATCAAGCTCCGACTATTCGAACTAACTTAGACTACTTATTTCAGGGTGACTCTGGAGGGCCACTGATGTGGGAGGCTCCTAATCGCCGATGGACATTGGTTGGAATTGTTTCATGGGGCATTAGATGTGCCGAGCCCAACTATCCCGGTGTTTACACCCGAGTTACGGAGTTTTTAGACTGGATCAAGGAAAACACTTCTTAACAAAACGATTATCGATAATTCCTTTCTACCTTATTTGCCGATTAACAATGCTAGCTTTCTTTACTAACAATTCTTTGAAACTTTGATTAAGAGACTGTTAGTTAATTGGCTGTCTGTTTGGTTCCTTTAATTTAATTTGCTTGGAGATATTTGAGAGATTAATCGACCAATATAGGCCTATATTGTGAAAGCTTCAAATAATCAGTATTTTTACTTGTAGGATTGAACACAGGTCACTTTTCTATTTCAACCGGAAGACCTAATGTTCTCTAAAACATTTTCACCACATTTTTCCTAAAATCAAAAATTGAAGCGGAAACTATGTCTTAACCACGCCTATAAATAATAGTCGCTCTAAGCCAGTATATTACTGTAATAAGAGTCCAATGAAAAACCTGCCTAGTACGAAGACAGAGATTAGAGTGAATTTGTTTTCATCTCTATAGATGTTTGTGCAAGTTTCTTGTCAATAAAATGGACTCTGGTAATTATTTCGTTATGAAATATTAATCTTACGTCACAACTTGTAACAGCAATTTCTATGTTAACAAAATGGAATAGCTGAATTCGTAATTACATTAACGAACTGTCTTGTGAATTTTAAACACTGAAATTTAATAAAAAATAGTTGTCTTTGTTTTCTTTATTTCTTATGTTGTCTTTCAGAATTTGTAGTACATATTGAAGGGATTTACACATTTTGATAATAAAGTTTAAAAAAACACGACCTTTACACTCCAGATAATTATAAACGAACTTTTTATTTCCACCGTACGTTTCGCCTTTGCTGAAATAACCGCAAAGGCGAAACGTTAGTTAAAATAAAAGTTATTTTATAATTATCTGGAGGTTGGTTTTTTTAACTTTCATTTTTTATTTAACAATCTAATAAAATATGAAAAAAAATCTTTCATTATTCTAACAAACGAAATCATGAGAAATTTTTTCAAGAAATCTTGCTTTTGTTTAGTATTTAAATCCGTTTTAAAATTCAGATTTTCAATACAGACTAATTCTTCATCACGAAGCATCTACGCTCCTAGTTGTTGTTTTTTCGTGTTTAAACAACAAACCTCTTTAGTTCCATATTTTTAATATCAAAAGCAGGAAATATTTAGGGAAGATCTAATAGATAAGCTAAAATGTAAAAAAAAAGAAGAAGAAGGTAGACTCATAAAATTTTAGTATGTAATCTATGTATGTCTATTCAATACCTTTTGTGATAACATTATTCAATCTACGAGGCCTACTTTGATGCAGCAACGTACATTCTGAACATTAGAACCAGTTTATTATGACCTATGAACAGAATGTGCCGAACTCTTTTACTTCATTGACAAAGATTCCGTGAGCTTTATATCAGTAATCTCGAAGCATAAGGTAATGTCATTTGAGTCCTCGCAATTTTTATTCAGACCTACGAGAAAGATATAGCTATTACCTAGTAATGTTCATATAATATGCTGTAATTTTCAGTCCAACTCTAGGCCTAGTATTATCTCCCACTTCCTACGGCCTCTAGTTAAGAATAGATTATCACATTCATTGCCTGTAGCAAGTTCTAATTTTACCATAAGGATCGAGACAACGATGTAGAGAAACGTGGCCGATATGAGGTAATGGCCACGTTCTCATCCACGCACATTTCCACCTACAATCGATTACTCACTATATTTGGGGGATTTAATGACAATTGCTTTAATAATCCTTCTTCTTACACACGCGTAGCAAGCCAGCTAGTCAAACGAATGGGTAGGAAGATACATTTTGTTATTCACTTTTATACGCAAAGTCATTGTAGTCTTTGGTAA